GGATAGTTCGTTAAAACAACACTGCTTCAGATACAAAGTAAATGATTCGGAGATATTTGGGTAGTTCGGGAAAAGGCAAACTTTTCAAAGATTGTATGGTATATGTACTTGCCAGCAGTTTCTATTATTAGGTTAGCCAGGATGGTTCTTGTCAACTAAAGAGTCTAGATACATAGCATTTGATACATATCAAAGCTACCTATTTCAAATATTTGATCAACAGTTTTTAAAAGTCTGGCATTTCATTGTTGACATTGACACTAGATGGTTCAAATGAATCATATAGTCTGGTTACTGGAATATCCAGGTACAATATGATTGACAAGTGGTTCAGACAATTGCCATCTGGTTCAGATGAGTAATGTGGTTCACATAACTACTATATGATTCAGATGAGTGACGTGGTTCACATAACTGGTTCAGATGAGTAATGTGGTTCACATAACTGCTGTCTGGTTCAGATGAGTAATGTGGTTCACATAACTGGTTCAGATGAGTAATGTGGTTCACATAACTGCTGTCTGGTTCAGATGAGTAATGTGGTTCACATAACTGGTTCAGATGAGTAATATGGTTCACATAACTGCTATATGATTAAGATGAGTGACGTGGTTCACATAACTGGTTCAGATGAGTAATGTGGTTCACATAACTGCTGTCTGGTTCAGATGAGTAACATGGTTCACATAACTGGTTCAGATGAGTAATGTGGTTCACATAACTGCTATATGATTCAGATGAGTAATGTGGTTCACATAACTGGTTCAGATGAGTAACGTGGTTCACATAACTGCTGTCTGGTTCAGATGAGTAACATGGTTCACATAACTGCTACCGGGTTCAGATCTGTGAGGTTGTTCACATTATATATAAATTCATAATTCTTGTGAAGCCTGGCGCATTTCAGATGAAGTGGGGATGAGCAACAAGTGTATATTTTATGGTTTACAAGTTTTTTTTCATCCTTGCATTTGTATCTGAATAATTTATGATATAAATGTGTAAACTAGATGATATATACGAAAGAGAATTTTTTATAACTCTCCATTATCAGTTGAAGTCAGTTCCAATCTATGAATTCTCTAACAACAACCTGTAATGTCTATATGAAAACACAATATGTATATGTTACTCAATATTTCTAACCTTATAGGAAAATGCAGAATTTGTGTTTATGGTTATGTACTGCTAGCTGGCCTACTGATGTTGTAAAATAAAACTGTGACTAGACTTATATGGTGTTGGTGCTTTTTGTAAGGAGTGGCACATATAAATATCCTCAGGGAACCAATGTAATAGAAGGTTTATAACAAGGGATTTCAGTTATCACTAACAGGAGTCTTGTGATAAAGCAGAGCTCAAAAGGTGAAAAGCTTTGTCAGCTTAAATATTATGTACATAATAATTAATTCAGAACATTGTAAGGTATTCTGTGCATACATGTACACTGTTATGTGTTGACATGAACAATTTAATTTCTATTTATGAAATTTTGGTTTTAGAAATTTATATTAAAATATGAGAAAACCATCACTTTAGACATTTTGATTGATGCTATAAAGCTATCAATTGCTGTTGGAGCCCCAATCTGACTGTTGTGTGACCTAGCAGCCTGGTAAAGAAGCCTGTCTGAGTCATACACAGCCCAGGCAAACCACTAGGCTTGTCATGTTTGCCATGATAAACAGCTTACATGACAAGAGGCATCCAATGGGGAACTTCAAAACAGCAGCTGTAGGATTTTCTTCTCTCATTCCTAAATAAATAAGATCTCTGCTCAATCGTGTGTTTAGTTATGTTTGATGTATGGAGTGTAAAATATAAGAATTATTTAGAAGTGGTTATGTAACTGCTACACGTATCAGAAAAGATGTTTACATAATTATAGTGTTTCCATATATAAAAACCTGTATTGATAACTTGAAATTTGGAGACCATCCAAATGGAGTTCTCTATTTTGATACCTCAAGGACAATTATCTCCATATGATAACTTGAAAGTCTGAGGCCCTTCAGGGGGTAAACTGTCTATTCACATGTTCTCTGAAACAGGAAATTGTTTTCACCCGTTTAAAGGCATTAAAGGGATTTCATTCTGGAACACTTGATATAAAACCAGTAAAAACAGTAATAACATGAAATAAAAAGGAAACTACCAGGGACTAGATGACTTTACCTTGTAGTGATGGTATTCTATTTAATGGCTAGACTGGTGTTTACATAACCTGATAATAGTGTACTGCACTGTATCATGTATCATGTATCATGATGACTAGAAGTGTTGTCGGTAGGATCCTGTGCCAACCTCTATAACACTGTTATTTTAATATTTAACCAACCTTTCCACTATCCCAATACTTAAAATAAATTTTCATCACAAATAGAACAGTTTTTATGTTTGTTATTGTAAACAAAATTACATAACTGAGGAGATACACTGTTGTTGTGCAATGCAGCTTCACACCACAAGCCTTCACTGTCATTAAACATTGATGATGTATTATCATACAAACTGACTGTGTCATCTTTACATAAAATTCCTTTAGAAGGTTAAATTACACAATGAGTTGTCATGGCATTCACAAATATGTAAAGGGAGCTAACTCCTTTTTTCTACAGAAATTTTATAGTTATTGCTTATAATGATATAGGTAAGGAATAATATTGATTTGATGTTAATAGTTTCACATTCACACGGTCATCTCTTTATCACTGCATATTGTGTAACTGAGAGGGAACAGTAACATAAAAACTGACAAGTCTATAAAGATACATACCTTCAGATGTATACCAAACATTAACACAATAACATTGTTTGTACTTTGACACCAGGCATATACCATGTTACAAATGTTTGTACATTCACCAGACATACCATGTTACAAATGTTTGTACATTCACCAGACATACCATGTTACAAATGTTTGTACATCACCAGACATACCATGTTACAAATGTTTGTACCTTCACCAGACATACCATGTTACAGGTGTTTGTACCTACAACTATGTTTCGGATTACAATTGCTTAAATTTTATTTCAAGCCGTATCAATACACAAAAAAACCCAACCCTTTTACAGGCATAGTCTTTTAACTGAATTTTCTCAAATAAGTTCTAGGTTCACTGGGCTTTCACATTCTACATCAAAATTTCTTTTTCCTTTCAGAGCGAGGTGATTCCGTCCCATTTCCCACGATGCCTCCTCTTTTCCCTTCCACCATGCACATGTCACATCACAGGGCTGTTCGTAACCATGGGAACAAGTACACCACATGCTTCTTCTGTCTCAGAAATAAAGTGAAGACAAAATCAGGGTGGCGTGTGAACACTTACTATAAGTGTGAACAGTGTAATGTGCCACTCTGTATCGGCAAGGACAGAAACTGTTTCGACCTGTTCCACAACATTTTAATGAAGCAATGAATATGCATGCTTGCCATTGACTATTATTCTTTATTACAACAGTTCGTTTAGAAGTTTGGCACAGACCTTTGTACAGAGATTGAGACTTTTAAGTTGCAGATAAGTGAGAATTGTGTTTAGAGAGAGGTACACCTGGAATCTTTCACGCAGCTGAACTTCATCGTGCTGTTTTGACAATAGGGAGAAAATAAGGGGTGTACTAATGTTTGACATTATTTTTAAACTTTTTGTGCAAATTCAACACTTAATGAAAAGAAACAGTTCCAATACAGATACAGCCATTATAAAGAACAGGTTATGACTTATTATCTATGTGAAGTGAAAAACCCCAAAATTCATCAGCTGACATTTGCAGGGGAGGTAACCAGCATTAACTCACATTTTCTCAAGTAGAGATTAAATAATATACCAAATGGAAAAGAATAACAATCATCTTTAACAATTGCACAATGAAAATTATAAATTTAGAAGAAGGAATATAGATAGATGTGTAATAATGTTATTATTCAACTCCTTGGTTTTCACAAATACTTAAATTTAGATAAAAATACACCATGAATTTATGAACAGTTGATTATTAGTTTTTTCTTTCTTTTTTTTTTTTTTTTTTTCCTCTCCTCTTGTAATTTTAGTTCTCCTGCAAGACTTTGTAAAAATTCTTTCAAATGACACACTTGAGTATGCAACATTATGATATCATCCAACTTGGTAAAATAATAGCTTTCATTGAATGTATTGGTGTTTATCTACCTCCACCAAGGACACAAGTTGATAGTTAATATCATTGTACAGTTACTAAATTAAGGGAAGGAATATTGACAAAGCAAGAACATGGATCTATCCCTAATATATCAAATTGATAGACCTGTTTATCACAGCAACTATAAGGCTTCTGTAAACTGCATACTACTTTACAGCAGCATGTTGGGATATGTGTTGATTGGGACCATGCTTAAGATTTTTAGTACTAAGTTCGGGCTATATATCTAAAGCGTGGTTTCTTTATCCTTTCAGACACCAAGTCTGGCCTGTTCCATCCTCCTTTCTCCCAATCTTCAAGTGTAGAACTCTTCCCGCCTCTGACAGGCGACCTCACCCAACACATCCCTGTCAAGAACGAGAACAACAAATACACCAAGTGCTTTCTGTGTCTGAGGAATAAAACTAAGACAAAGTCTGGTTGGCGTGTCAACACTTACTACAAATGTAGCCATTGTTCCATCCCTCTGTGTAACAACCGAGAGAGGAACTGTTTTGAGACTTTCCATCGCCAGCTTCTTGCATACAAATCAGAGGCTAGTCAATACACAAACCCACAGCTATTTAAGTACCCATTTGAATGACCCTAGTCTTCGGTGCTGTTAGAGCTTTATAGGCATGGCCCTGTCTGTGATAGGTAGATATTCTTCCCCCCTTGTATAAACTCCTACAGGTTAAGATAGTGAACTTGTATGGAGTGATGCAGTGAATTTGGTGTGATAGCTAAACAGAATTCGTAAGCCATCTTTTTATTTGTGGCCTCTTAACCCTTTTTGTTGTCGTGTTTGTAATTGGTGTTGTTTCTTTATCCTTTCAGAAGATCCCTGGGTAGCCTCCTCAGTATCAGGCTCTCCTTTCCCGGCCTCACCTTCTTGGAGAAGTTCGAGTCATGTGGGTACCCTGCCCACTAGACTTGCCATCCACAAACTCATTCCTATCACTGGCCCCATCAATAGAAAGCTTTGTGTTTACTGTCAGCTAAATAAAACTAAGACCAAGTCAGGCTGGTTGGTGTACAGTCGCTGCAAGTGTGAGGCGTGTGATGTGGCGCTGTGTAAGAGGGAGAGGGGATGTTTTAAACTCTACCATGATCTCATCTTCGGCGGTGTCAATGAGGCGAACGAGTCTCAGACGGGCGTCGGTTCAAATGTGAACCTGAAGCAGTTCATCGTCAAGCCTCATAGTGGTGTCACCATGTCTCAGGCTAATGTCTCCTCGTCAGTTTTAAGTAACACTGCACCATACTCCAAGTATGCCTTGTCACACCATGTCGCCTCATTGTCACAATCAAATTTGTCGTCTACTAATCAAAATGTCTCCTCGACACATCCAAATAATTCTCATGTTCTGGTTTGTCCTACTTCTCCAAAAAGAGAATACCACCAGTTACCTTCCTCATCTGTTGACAGTACAATGTCAACTGGTCACAGCAGACCTGACTTTGAGGAACCTCTTGCCCTCACAATGTCCGCACATGTAACTGCAAACTCGGGTCCTGTGACAGCAAGTACTGGTCATGCGATGCCAAGTTCTAGTCATATGGCACCGAGTCCTGATATGGTGACAGAAAATTCTGATAACATGGCTGCAGATTCTGGACAAGACATCATTATTTCCAGTCAGGAGACTTCCGATACAGATCATGTGTCAGAAAGCACTGCTCAGGTGACTGGCAGTTCAGATCATGTGACTGGAAATGCTTCCTATGCCTACGGAAGTGTAGTATTCCCAACTCGAAGCTTTATGCATGACAGGACAGAGGAAGGCTAGAAATAGTGCTACATTTTGTGATTTAAATGTTTCTCATCCTAAACCAGAAATGACACACACTGCTAACATCTCATTAGCGTGAACATTGATAAATGAACAAACTTAATTCATATGCAGATATGTATTCACTAACTCGAAAAACACATTAACATTTGTGTGAGTATTGTGATTGTATACATAATCCAATAGCAAGCGATTGCCTTGGATATGGAAGATATGAAATAGCTTTTTATATGCAATACAAATGGAGATCTTTGTCTGGGTTATTGCTTGTCATGGCAGGTGAAGACTTGTGTACAAATTGTAACTTGATGGTGGAGGTGTTTTCTGTCCTACTTACTTTACTTGTAACCTAGCCTTTAGACATTAAACAACAGAGTTTACCTTTGGGTTTGATCTCTTCAGTATATATATATTTTTTTGATAGTTTGGATTTTCAGAAATAATATTGTACTGTCTATAAATAGAGTTTGATAAGAAATATTGACAGCATGGTCCAATATTGATTCCGGATCCAAACAAAGAAATGTTGGATGTGTTTTACTAGATACATGATCAATAAAATAAAGTGCTGATATGTAAATATATATGAAAGGTACTGTATAACACACTACTTAATTTGAACAGAAATGGTGTACAAAATACTTTATATTGGTTATTAGAAATAAACTGTGTCTTGTTTGGAAGTCACCATAAAGTTTCTGGCTGAAAATCACATCGTAAACAAAATTGAAAGTCATAGCGTGGGCTCGTTTTAAATAATATTTGTTTGTGAAAGGGCTTAGGGTGAGCTCATTTGAAATATTTTTTGTGAAAGGGCTTAGGGTTGGTTCATTTGAAAAAAATATTTGTGAAAAGGCTTAGGGTGGGCTTATTCGAAAAAATATTTGTTTGTGAAAGGGCTTAGGATGGGTTTATTGGAAATAACATTTGTTTGTGAATGGGCTTAGAGGGAACATATTGGAAATAATATTTGTTTGTGAAAGGGCTTAGAATGGGCTTATTTGAAATAGTGGTTGGTTTTGGCAGGGCTTATTGTGAGATAGATGTACAAAATTCATATCATAGAGTTTGTCTTGACTTTCTTTTGATTTTTTAGTTTCCAAAGACAATTTTTAAAGTTTCAGTGTTGTAAACTTTTATGGAAGTATTAAAACCAGAGGATCAGTAATATAGTCCATACATCATTATGTTATATTGAGAGGATATTGAGTTGAACAGGGAATGTTGTATAGAGTTGTGTGTGAAAGAAGAGTATAGTTACAGATGAAATTTACAGGAGACAATTTACAGGGATAAATTATGAATTGGTAACTAAATGCTCAACAAATCTAACAAGTTAGCCATTTACAAGGTCATCATGAAACTACAAGACAAACCTATTTGTTCTTGCAGAATTCCTGGAATTCAAATTTTTTCTGTGGTCATATTTATTCTACTTTCATAATACTGGAAGGGACATTTATTATTTACTATTGTGTCATTCTGTCTGTAACTTCCTTACATTTTGTTTTTAATTTCATGCTTTGTTATAGATCTCTGGCACTTTCTATTTCTGTTAGATAGGGTCAAAGTATGTACTGAAAGAACGTACCACATGGCTTCCTTCTTTTGAAATGATTGATAAATGGTAAGATTTTGTGTATTAACCACTGGAAATTAAGTCAGAACGATTCAGCAGAACTCAACTATAGATATTACATATTATGAAACATATTCGCACAAAGCTTAGATTACTGTTGATGGAGATCAAGCCATATCAGAAAGGCCAACAAATCCAAGTAAGCTCCCATCACTGTGCCTCATTGCACCGTTACAGTGTGCTAGAGGATGAACTTTTATTGGCCATATGATAATGGGTCATGTGATGTGTCTAGTCCAATCACAGTTGAGGACTTGGTTCTGTTTTATCCTTCTAGTACCTGGGATGGACCTGAAGCTTGACCCTGACTCAGTAGTGTCTGCTTACCAGCCATCAACCCTTGAGGAGGTGGACGACATGCTCGATCTCCAACAGACATTCAGTTCTGATATTGGCTTGTATGAGGGAAACACAGGTATTGTCAAAAGACGTGCCCGTGGGCCCAGGAGGGGCACGTATGGGCGTTTGATGAACCGGAAAGAGCATGTATGTCCAGAACCAGGCTGTGACTTCAGAACTACTAGACTATATAACTTCCAGAGGCACTGTCGCATCCATAATGACGATGCAAAACTAAAGTGTGACATCTGCCAGAAAAAATTTCTGGATGCATATGAATTGAAACATCATGTTGCTGGTCACTCTGGTGCCTTCAAATGCAATCTGTGTGATCGTAGTTTCGCCTCGCGTATGGGGTTCTATGAGCACACTAAGTTTCACCAAGAGTCTGACGAGAGGTTTGACTGTCAAATGTGCGGTAAAACTTTCTGGAAAAAGTCACGATATGTCTATCATCTGAGAGCATATCACAATAAGATACTAGTTGAAGAGGAGGAGGGTAGATTTTCATTGCAAGATGCTGACACTAATTCTTCATCTTAGCTTTTTTCCCCTGAGAACAATGGGATAAAGACAACAATATTTAGCATGGTTTTACCAAGTTATCAGTTGTCAAGAGACAAAACTTCCTAAAAGTGACATTTTCAGAATATCTTAATATTTATTGGTTGTTAATTTTCCACATAAAATTGGAATGCAAGAACACAGCTATCATAATTGTAAACAGTTGATTAGGGTGTTTTTGTACTGCCTCTGATTTTGGCAATGTTTGGTGCATAATTAAATTAACATCGCTCCATGTCTTGCATGCTCTACTGATCTACAGGCTTGTGACAGGAGATAATCAAGACATTCATAATTGAAATGTCAGTCCAGGACAGGTTGTAAATTTATGTACAGATGTATAAAAACAGTACAAAATTGTAGATAATAAGAAAAATGGAGAGTACAATATGTTTGGAGGGAAGAGTTGTTATATCTACTGTGTTTCGAGTGTAATGTCTGATACATTTAGAGAGTAATGTCTGATATGTTTAGAGAGAATGTTTCTAATGTGTTTAGAGAGAGTAATGTCTGATATGTTTAGAGAGAATGCTTCTAATGTGTTCAGAAAGTACAAAGGGTGTTTATCTTATCTGTCTAGAAAGCAGGCTGATATTATATTCAAAATGATATTATATGGCATGTTTAATGATATGTGTCGAAAGTATGAAGTGTGAAGAGGTAAGGAAAAAGTTGGGTTGGTTTAGAGAGTATAGAATGTGAAATGCCGAAATAATAAAAGTTGAATGTGTAATAGATGTAGAATATGCTGCCTGAATTAATGTAGGGAACCAATAATTGAAAATTACATGTAGTTCTAAAGATCAATGTGAAGAGAAAGTACTAGAGACTGAAGAGTGTTGTAAAAATAAAAAAATACAGGTGAGCTAATGTTTAAATATACAAGGCCCTGTACAGAATTTAACCTGTGAGGAGACTGAATAGTGTTGTAAAAATTAAAAAATACAGGTGAGCTTATATGTTTAAATGTACAAGGCCCTGTACAGAAATTAACCTGTGAGGAGACTGAATAGTGTTGTAAAAATAAAAAAATACAGGTGAGCTAATATGTTTAAATGTACAAGGCCCTGTACAGAATTTAACCTGTGATGTTAAAACAACAAACTGTAAATATCTCAATTGTTAATTTTCTTATAAAATTCAATACGATAAAAATAAAGTTATAAATAATGTTAAACATCAATGTTGTTGTTTTTCTCTCCTGTGTTTAAACACAGTGGTCATGTGACAGACTCTCCAACAGAAAGTTGTCATAGGATGGGCTCTCTAACAGCTAGTTACAGACACACTGCTTTAACAGATACGAACATGCCATTAGGAAGTTCACATAAAGTGAATATTTATAGCATAGCTGAACAAGTTTGGAAAAAAGGGAAATAATTCATTATCACCTACTATTCAGGAACATTCATTAAAAATAATCATGTATTTGGAAAATTATTGACGTAGATAATACCAGCAGTTGTTTTGGAAGCTTAAAATTATTGACGTAGATAATACCAGCAGTTGTTTTGGAAGCTTAAAATTATTGACGTAGATAATACCAGCAGTTGTTTTGGAAGCTTAAAATTATTGACGTAGATAATACCAGCAGTTGTTTTGGAAACTTAAAATTATTGACGTAGATAATACCAGCAGTTGTTTTGGAAGCTTAAAATTATTGACGTAGATAATACCAGCAGTTGTTTTGGAAACTTAAAATTATTGACGTAGATAATACCAGCAGTTGTTTTGGAAACTTAAAATTATTGACGTAGATAATACCAGCAGTTGTTTTGGAAGCTTAAAATTATTGACGTAGATAATACCAGCAGTTGTTTTGGAAACTTAAACTTATTGACGTAGATAATACCAGCAGTTGTTTTGGAAGGCAGCAATCCTTGTTTCTGATTGCCAGACTTCTGGATCGCTCTATTTTCCTGTAGATGCCAGACAGGGATTTGGACAACTGTATTCACCTTACAAACCCAGATTCTGTCTGTTTCAGGGTAACATCACAATTTATTTAGACCTATGAAAGGAGTTTTGACCATTCAGTAAGCAGATTAAACTTTATATTGTATATGACAATAGTAGTTGTCCTCCATTCTATACCAGGTTTTGATCAGACTGGTTCCTCTATAAAGCAGGAACTACTTATCACCTGTGTATTTGCTCTGTTAATCATTTTACTGGCATTGTGTCTGACATTCATTGTATACTTTCTGTGCTATTCGGGTTAAAATCACAACTCATTTTACTGACCTTGTGAATCTGATCTAAACTTAACACAGAATTTCCTTAATGCCTGCCGAAGAGGGACAGACACCCGGACAGTTTTCAAAACAGATATTAATGGTAGTTTGAAGATGAGCAGTTAGACTGATTCTTGGTGCATACTATGGCGGGGAGAGGGAATATTGTATTTATTGTATAGATTTAAAATGATGTCTACCATACCTGGATCTAGGCTCCTAGTGATGTGTTAAATCTGACATGTTATTTACCTGTTATCGACGGAGAACAACAAACTTTGACCTTGAACAAATTTGCATATTAATATATCCTTTATAATCGTAGCTTTGAGTTTTGAATTCCTATGTGTATGTTGTAAGCGTGACCTTCACATCTTCCAATTATTATTTTTAGATTCTTTCGTGTGTAAGGTTTCTCGCATGGTAATAGATACATTTTTATTCTTTCAGATCCAGAGCCTAGTGATAGCAGTAACATGCCAAGATTCATAAGACAAGTTACCTCTGGCAAACGTCCACTGATTTCTGAAACTTTTGGCCTCCCTCCTGAACTATTACAGTCATTCATAATTCCAAAGCAAAATTCACAAGGACGATTACAAAGTCAAAGTTCTGACATTTCACAAACAAGGTTTCAAGGTCAAAGTTCAAATATGACAACAGTCCCAACAGTTATGTCTGACTCCATGCTTCGACACCATGAAAATATAGTTTTACCTGACCCCAACTTGAATATAAGTCAAGGCCTTTCCTCTGCATATAGAGGTCAACATGATTATGGACAGCACAAGCTTGTGTATATAGCAGACAAGAAGTACAAGCCATGTGTGGTGTGTGTACTTAACAAGGTGAAAAGCCCTAAAGGGTGGTATATTTACTCTTATTACAAATGTGAGGTGTGTGATGTACCTCTATGTCGTAGTAAGCGGGACTGTTTCCATCAGTACCATCAGTATATGTCTACTATGGATACAAGTGAACTGCAGTTGAATTTTCCTTCCCATACAGGCTAATGGCCATTCCGTAGAGTCTGCAATGAAAGTGTGAATGTTTTGTCCTCTTTTAGTGTGAAGTTTTATACACACATTCCACCTTGAAACTGATTTCATTAAAGTTCTATAGGAGTTTTCTCCCCAAAAAAGTCTAAATCCTGAATTCTTCATGTAAGTATAGTGCAAGATTCTTCCTAAGACAGGTGAAAGTCTGTTGTCACTTAGGTTTGTAAAAGTCTGATGTCATTGAAGTGTTTCTAGAGTGTAAAACCTAGTTTCATGAAGTATGGTGCAGGTTTTCTCCTCATACTGGAGTAAAGGTTACTTTTCAATACAGTTTAGGGGCTCATGACATATGAAAGTTCCATAAAGTTGTGTGTAGAGACTGATGTCTTTGAGGTATTTGATTAACCTCATTGATGAAGCATTTCTGGTATCATTGCCTTGATTGGTATTTTGTATATAAAGTTACCTAGCCATAAATATTTGTAGGATATTCTTGTCAAAACAACCCTCAATTTCTGTAAATTAATAAATATTTGTAGAATATTCTTATTAAAACAACCCTCAATTTCTTTGCCTATTATAATCAATAACTGGTACATCATGTTAGAAGCAAGATAAAAAGTATTGCTTATCCTTTCATCAATGTTTTACGCGGAAAGCAAAGTGAAAGTTTTCATGGAATTACGGTACAGCAGAAAAAGATAGATGATTCCTTACCATCTTATATACTTCATTTTTTTAAGTGCTAGTAAGCTTCACATTGGTCATTTGTCTTATAAAGATGGCAGTGTAGTCATGGGAGTATCTCCTACTGGCTGTGAGAATTTAAGAACTTCTATTCTAAAAATAAAAGATGTAGGTTTGAGCCGTCCTTACATTGATCTGTAAATCTTGGAGTAAAGTCACCTCCAATTACTACGCTGCATTGTGTTCCAATGTGGCATAGTTTTACTATAGGTTCTAAATTTTATATTGATCTTGAATTGATATTTAAAGTTACAAACAAACAGAAATGGCATTAAAAATAATTATTCTAAAGTGTGGTATTTATTCTGTATACCATACTGGTTTTTATAGCTCATCTTCCCAAAGAACAAGTGAATTTATGCCATGATGCTGT